ACTGGTACCTCTCAGCTACCAATAAGTCCTGACACAAAATTTCTTTTTTGCAGAGATGGGACCCCCTCACCACCACCCTGGCCACCGCATGCCTCATCCTGGGATCAATGAGCACCCACCCTGGGCTGGGCCTCAGCACCCTGACTTTGGCCCTCCCCCCCATGGCTTTAATGGGCAGCCCCCCCACATGCGAAGACAGGGCCCTCCCCATATCAACCATGATGACCCCAGCCTGGTCCCCAATGTGCCCTACTTCGATCTCCCTGCTGGGTTGATGGCCCCCCTCGTGAAGGTAAGACCTCGGGAGCCCTGGGCTGCCTTAGGTGGCAGCACCTGCTGTGTGGGCCCCTCTGCTTATCCCCCTGAAAATCGAGCACCCGGAACATGTTTTCCAGAAGGCTGCTAGGCACCCTTCCCCGGCCCGTCCTTCCCCTTTCCCTCTCCTGCCTCGAAGAGGCGTGTGCCCGTGCTCCTGAGCAAGGTCACATCCACTCACTTCCTTCCCTTCCCTCTGCAAGGGGGCTTTGCAGCCACAGAGAACCATCTGGGCTATGTGTGAGGTGTGGGTCCTCCATTCTTTCCTCTTAGTCCCTGTGCTCAGAAGCCACCTGTCCAGGGGCTGATGCCAGAGGGATTTCTCAGGAGACACCTCTGCAAGCTGTCCTGGCGGGAGGGGTGGCTGGAGCGCAGGCTGAGGCACTGTGAGAAAGAGCCGGGCTGGGGCTGGGGCTCGGGCACAGCAGACATGGCTGCGAAGTGCTCAGCTGGGGGCACTGCCAGGCTCTCTCCAGAGAATTCCCGGAAGCTGGGGTTGGGGCATAAAGCGGGTGACACACGGAGCACGGCTTGGACAGGATGGAGAGGAGCTGGCTGCAAGCCCGTTGGGAGCAGAGGGTAGCAGTCCACAGGTGGGGCACTTGGGGTCCAGATGTCTGGACAAACTGAGTGGTTTTGCATCATCTGAGGTGGCGGCCACATCACCTGAGTGACTTTTCTGAGGCAAGATCCCTGTGGCTGAGCCTCTGAGGGCAGGGTTTCCTGGGACTGGGTGAGGCCCTCTGTGCTGCTGTCACTCCCCTGCTGTGCCCTGGGTGGCCTGGAGAGGGATTTGTGGACATGAGCAACAGCAGTGTCCTCCCTACAGCTGGAAGACCACGAGTACAAGCCTCTGGACCCTAAAGACATCCGCCTTCCGCCCCCCATGCCACCCAGCGAGAGGCTGCTGGCCGCCGTAGAGGCCTTTTACAGCCCTCCCTCCCACGACAGGCCCAGGAACAGGTACAGGCTCCGGAGAAGGGGCAGCGGGACAGGTGCTGGGAGGGACCCTGAGAGACAGACGGGGAGCCTCTGTCCCCACCTCCTGGCCTGTCTTCCCCCTGAATTTATTGCATTTGAGGAACAGACTGAGAGCCAGGTCTTCTGTTCAGGTAAGAAGATACGGCAGTCTTCTTTTTTTTTTTTTTTGGTGTTGGGGATGAAGCCCAGGGCCTTGCACATGCCCTGCCACAGAATCTACTCTGGTTCTATATGGCCATCTCTAAGGAGAAGAGCACCATCCTGCGTGAGATTGTCACAGGTGTGGCACAGACATGATGGCCCTCCACAAAGGGCTTCTTGAATCCATTCATTAGAATGGAAGTTCTCTCAGGTGTGACCTGGCTCGCCCCTGTGGGCAGACTGTCCCTGTGCAGTCACCACTCCATGCCCTGGTGGCCTCAGGCCCAGTCTTAGGGAGCTGGATAGCCTCGTCTCTGGCAGCAGCACCCACAGGCTCCTGTGCCTCCTGCAGGGAGGCTGCAGGGTGGAGGGGCGTGGGGCTGGGTCCAGCCAGGCTCGGGCCAAGCTTCCTGGTGGGGAAAGGGCAGCCCTGTTGGAGTATCTGAGGTGCTTTGTACAGCATGCTCATGGGGGCGTCTTGGGAACGAGGTGGGTAGGGCTGCGCCTTCCAGGGCTCCCTAGGGCAGGGGTCATCCAGATGACGTTTTCATAAGTCGACTGTGGGAGGGGCGTCTGCAGTCACACGGGAAATGCCATGTCTTACAGCGAAGGCTGGGAGCAGAATGGCCTCTATGAGTTCTTCCGAGCAAAAATGCGGGCGCGGCGGCGGAAAGGCCAGGAGAAGAGGAACAGGTGAGAGCCCAGATGGCCATGGGTCTGCCTGTCCTGCCGCCTGTCTGACATGTGTTCGTGCGCCCCTGTCAGCATGCTTCCCTGGCCACAGGGGGTCACCAGTGAGCAGAGTGGACCCGGGTCTTCTGTGATCAGCAGTGGGACTGGGGAACAGCACTCGCTGGGTTCGAGGCTACGGACTCTTGGGGTCCCAGGCAGGCCAGGGCTCCTGGGGCTCCGCTCATCAGTCCTGTCCCCACAGTGGCCCCTCCAGGTCTCGGAGCAGATCCAAAAGCCGAGGGCGCTCTTCTTCACGCTCCAACTCGAGGTCCTCCAAGTCGTCAGGCTCCTACTCAAGGTCCAGGTCGCGCTCCTGCTCTCGCTCCTACTCCCGCTCCAGATCCAGGTAGGCCTCGGCAGCTGCGGCACGCGGGCACGCTCGGCTGCCCACACCGGAGTCCCCATAGCCTCTGACCCAGGGTGCTGTCCTCCGCAGGAGCCGCAGCAGGTCTCGCTCCTCAAGAAGCCGCTCGCGGTCCAGGTCACGCTCCAGGTCCAAGTCATATTCCCCCGGAAGGAGGCGCCGGTCAAGATCCAGGAGCCCCACCCCGCCGTAAGATCTCTGTCCTCACTGGGCCCTGCGGGGAGCACTGGGAGACTCTGGTATTTTGCTGTCATGGTGTAAACATTTGTCATTAGAAGACAGACAGGTGTCACAGGTGCTGACCCAGTGGCAGCAGCACCTCTGCTCTGCCCACCCCACAGCCACACACTTGATGAGGCTTGCACAGTAGTTGGACTCTATTTCTGACCACTTTGGAGGCTCGGTGTGACCTTGTGCCTTTGAAGCTAAGCAGGGACAGGGTCATCATCTGAGGGAACCCCTTTATCAGGCAGATGAAGAGGATGAAGAACAGTAGAGACACGGAATATGTATGTGTCTACCTTATGATGGCAAGCAGTTACCTGAGCGACAAACTGTATATTCTAATATTTGTCATTCCAATAAATTTGTCTATTTTTTGAAAAATGTAACCTGTCTTAATTTTAGTTCTTCGGCTGGTCTGGGTTCTAACTCAGCGCCTCCTATACCTGACTCGAGGCTCGGAGAAGAGAACAAAGGCCATCAGATGCTGGTAAAGATGGGTAAGTGTCCTCGGACCCCAACCCTTGGCCACTTGGGGATCTAGGAGGTGATGGGGTTTTCTTGTCCTCTTTGAATGGGGAGAGAGGAGTCACAGGAAGTTGGGGCTTACTGCTAGGACTTCTGAAGTGGCCAGCCAGCGGGGCTGGTGCTGGGTCTTCTTTATTAGCCCCTTGTTCCGTGTAAATACTGCCTGCTCTTGTGTCACTCACCTCCCCGAAGGCAACCTCCCTTTTGACAACCCCACCACCACCACCTGTAGGCCTCCTGCAGCCTCCTGCGAGGACTCTGAACATGTGTCCCCCTCTCTCAGGCTGGAGTGGCTCTGGCGGCCTTGGTGTGAAAGAGCAGGGGATCCAGGACCCCATCAAGGGCGGGGACGTCCGGGATAAGTGGGACCAGTACAAGGGCGTGGGTGTGGCCCTGGACGACCCCTACGAGAACTACCGTCGGAATAAGAGCTACTCCTTCATCGCCCGCATGAAGGCCAGGGACGAGTGTAAGTAGGAGCCCAGGGCCGGGAGCGCGCCGGTGGCTGGCGGCGCTGGCTGGCGGGACCTTCCTGGCTTGCTGGCAGTGGAAGATCGTAGTGACAGCTCGGTTCTCACGCAGTCTCCACGTTTGGGGCACGCAAGGAAGAGAAGGAAGACTAACACGGGCCTAGTGAGGAGCGCCATGCACTGGCGTGGGAAGGGCTCAGGCGCCACCTGCACACCCCGGGAGGAGGTGCCACAGCACCACGGCCGTGAGCGCGGTTCCCTTCACAGCGAAGCAAGAAACCCAAGACCCTCCAGTCCCTGAATGAGAATTCTTCACGCCTGACGGAGTGGATGCTGCGCGTCTTCCCTGAGTCAGACCTAAGCCCCTTCCACAAGCAGCAGTGTGGAAGGCAGGCCAGGCACCAGCAGGGGGCAGCTAGGGCAGCACCCACCCACTGCCCTTGTAGTGGCAAGCGAAGGCCGGGTGCTGTCACTGCTCAGTTTAAAACAGGAAAAGCAAAACCTCCTGGATTAGCAGAGTTCACCAGGGTTTTCATTTTGATTCCGATTGATTTAGGTTTAGAAAAAAATATTGATCTAAGACGGTCCCCAATAAGATCATTTTAAACCCCTCTCCTCTGAGGTGTCCTGGCCCCTAGTTCAGTTATTTTAGTTGTGTATGTTGGTTTTTCTTCCTCAAATGTTAGCCATTTGCTATTATCTGGAGAAAGAAAAGTTTCTAAGTAAACGACCTAAGGTGTCCTCAGGTCAGCGATGACGCCCTGGGGGCATCTGTACATGTAGCCCCTCTGCTTGTGGTTATCACTTAGGGGAACCCAACACCAGCACTTGCGTGCGAGGACCCATTTAGATTGAGTGTGGAGTGCCACCTCCCAATTGGTACCTTCTACTCTGTCATTTCATTTGCATACCCCCAGCCCACCCCCAAAGGGAGGTGGGGCCAGGAGGAGTGTCACCTCTGCCAGAAGCTGCCTGGATCCCCCACACCTGGATCCATCAGCAGCTTGGTGCGGTGCCATTTATTTGTAAAGAAGTACTTTTGAAAAATTCTTTTCAGTAAGATGCAGAGTTCCCCCCACAATTTTTCACCCCCACGTGGTAAATATCTGATTTTGTTCTAGAATTCCCGTAGCTGTGACTTGTTCAAATGTGTCTGATTCTGGATAAAACAAACTCGTGCTGTTAACGATTTCTTGTGGATTTTACTGTTTTGCCTTCAAATAAAGCCTTTTTTTAAAGACCTCCTCCTCCGTGTGAAAGTGAGAAGCGCGGGTGGAGTGAGGGGCGTGTTCTGGATGAGGCCCGGTGGAGCTGGGGCCTTGGCGTCTTGTGAGGAGTTGTTCTCGTGTCCTTGTCAGTGAACAGGAGTCCCGTCATCGGCTCCGTCTGCCTTGTGCCCACCAGGAAGCCAGCACCTGGCCTGTGCTGCGTCCCCACTGTCCTGCATCATGTCCTCATGCTGACGGGCAATTTCCTCAGCAGCGTGCTGAGCAGGTCTCTGAGCAGGGATTCACCTCCAGTGAATCCCGAGCCTTTACCCCAACACTGTGCCCCACCACGGATGTCACCTGGAAACTGGTGTGTGTGTGTGTTCCCAACTCAAGCCTCACCTGGTACTTACAGCTCCTCCTGCACCTCCCGCAGGGCGTCCTCCATGGTGAGTGGTGTGGGCCTGTGGCACCTAATATACTGTTGGGTAGGAGACAGATGGGGACACCATCAGCACTGCCACCTCAAAACGCACCTAGAAGCTGCTGGGTGCTGGGAAGAGACGCGGCCATGGCGCCCACCCCCAACAGGGTCTAACAGGGCAGGTGGGGGAGGCCAGGTGGTTGGTCCTGGCACACAGGAGCGCCGGGCGCTGTGCAGACCGGGAGGTGCCGCAGGCTCTGGGCTGGAGAGGGAAGGGCAGCCTCAGAGCAGTCAAGGAGGAGGACCTGGGTGCCACGTTTAGGACACGGTCGGCAGGAGCTGTGGCGGACTGACACAGGTGACGTGGCCAGGTCGCCTCAGATGAGGGCTGGCTAATGCACGGCCAGCAGAGAGTGAGTTAAAGGGGCCCCAAGGGTGCCCTCAGCAATGTCCAGAATGAGCGCAGGTCAGATGACCTGTTTCCTTCCATGGATAACGGCAAGGGGGTGGATGGCCTGCAGAGCAGCGTTTCTCAGAGTGGGTCCCCAGCCAGCTGGCTGCCTGCATCACAGGGCACTTGGGAGACACGCCCGTCCTGCCCCGAGTAGGCCCAGCAGCTGCTCTCACCCTGCAGGGATTCTGCTGCTCAGGTTAAGAACAGGCTCTAGAGAGACGCTTAAGAAAAAAGACACGGGACCATCTTGGTGTGTAGGCTTCAGTGCAGAGCAAGCGCTCAGCACACACCAGACACTGGGCTCCACCAGCACCAACAAGTAGATTAAGAAGTGAACTTAAAAGGGGGATAAAATGTGCAACTTTAACATGACAAGTGGAGATCTGAACACTGGGTCTTCCATGATACAGAGCAAATCCAGTTTTAGGGTTAGTGGCATTATGACTTTTTAAAATTTTTTTTTTGGAAACAATGTGCTGAAATATTTTGTATATAGAATGAATGAAAAACAGAACAGCACATACAGGATGACACTGTTTCTTTAAATACTAATAATACTTCACACTTTGCACAGAAAAAAATGGAAGTCTATCACGTTGGCAATAGTTACCTTTGAGATTATGGAGGACGGTAAATCAATACCTCAATAGAATTTTATTTATTTTTTTTTTAATTTTGTTTGGTGGCAGTTGGACATATGCCTTTATTTTACTGTTAAGCGGTGCTGAGGATCCAACCCGGCCTCCGCGTGCCAGGCGAGCGCTCTGCCGCTGAGCCAGCCGCAGCCCCCAATGGAATTTTAATCAAACGAGCTCATATATTCTGGTTATCAGAAGGAAATTAAGCTTTTCAAGAGGAAAAAGGGAGGTGAGGGCGTCTCTCGAGCTGCAGCCCAAGGGACTGTGGAGGAAGCCCGGTGCCTTCAGGAACCACCTTGGGCAGCACTCAGGGTCTGGGAAGAGGGCAGGGCCCCACAGGGCAGGTCCCCTTTGGTCTGAGGCCACACAGCCCCATTAGGGCTGGCCGTAAGACTCAGGCTCAGTCCCCCACACTGTGTAATACATAGCTCATCACAGGACAAGGAGAGGTGACAGTGGCAGAAGGTGACAGCCCAACCACATCCCTGCAGCAGGGGGCTACGCACCAGAACCTGAGGGACAGGTGCCCACGGGTATGTGGTGGGCCCTGGCCCCGCCCACTCCGCCCCGTCTCATTGCCGTCACCTCTTTGGCTTCCTCCAGGGAGTGGTAGTGGAACGAGTCCCCTTCCATGGACCGCAGGAGGGAGAGGTGCAGGTGGCGGCTGGCGGCGATGAACTGCTGCGTCAGGTTCAGCTGCTGCTTCAGCATGTCGTTGAGCGCCAGCACGGCAGGGCTGTAGGCTGTCAGGACTGCACCCCCTCCTTACTCAGCGGCTCTCCAGGGACCCCAGCCCTGCAGCCCCGACACTTGGCACTGTGGGGCTGCTCCTGAAGAGACCACTGCCTACTCCCGCCTCCATTCTGTTACGCTGTGATGTGTGTGTGGATGTCACACTTAAAGTTCATTAATATGACAAAAAAATATTAAGAGCTAGTCTCACTGTTGCCCAGTCTGGGCTCAAACTCCTGTGCTCACCTGACGCTCCTGCCTCAGCCTCCTGAGTAGCTGGGACCAAGGTGTGTGCCACTGTGCCTAGCTAAAAACACATTTTCTGAAAATATAAATAAAAATTCTAAATTAAAAAATTGGGGCTAAGGCTAGGGCTGGGGCTCAGTGGTAGAGCACTTGCCTAGCATGTGTGAGGCCCTGGGTTCAATTCTCAGACCTGCATATAAATAAGTAAAATAAAGGACCATTGACAACTAAAAAATACTTTTTTAAAAATTGGGGCTGGGTTTGTAGCTCGGGTAGGACACTTGCTTAGCAAGTACAAGGCCCTGGGTTCCACCCCCAGCACCACAAAACAAAAAAACTGACATTTAACTAAAAATATTAAATCTGATAAAAAACAAAAATTCTGCTGTTTATTTAGTATTAAGACTGCTGAGCAGTGGCCCACGCCTGGAACGCCAGCAGCTCGGGAGGCTGGGGCGGGAGGACAGCAAACTCAAAGCCAGCCTCAGAACTCAGTGAGACCCTGTCTCTAAATAAAATATTTACAAAAGGGCTAGGGATGTGGCTCAGTGGTCCAGTGCCCCTGGGTTCAGTCCTTGTACCAAAAATATACGTGCGTGTGTGTGTGTGTGTGTGTGTGTGTGTAAAATCTCTGAGGCAGTAAGTTTCCCCAGGGCTGTGGCAGGTCTGAACTGGAAGGTGGCTTTTGGGGCACCTTCATCACCTCCAGGTGGCTAGCACTCTTCCCAGACCACAAGGACTCCTCAGTCTCAGCCCAGGACGCAAAGGCCATGTCCTGTTGCTGTGACTCAGCACTGGCCAGTGTCTTTAGGGGATAAAACTAAATATGTGCAAAAAGCTCAAACAGAATTCAAATAAAAGCATCTGCTGGGGCAGAAGGGGTAAGCTGGGGGGAATTATTGAGAGCGGGTGTTTTGATGGCACTGGGGATGGCACCCAGGGCCACGCACATGCTAGGCCAGTGTTCCTCCCCTGAGCCCACCCCAGCGCAGTGAATTGCCTTTAGGCCGCCTGTTGGACATGGGTGTCCTTTTGCAGGTGACAGAAGGTTTGCAGACACCCTCAGGCTGCCATCGGGGATCCTACTAACCACTGAAATAATTCCACCAATGGATTCTTGAACCCAGCATTAAAGAAGTGAAACACTTCCAAGAGATGCGCCCGCTCCCCAGGAAGGACCCCAACCAGGCTCCTCAGGAAGGACCGCCACCGCCAACCAGGCTCCTACCTTCTATGGCATCGGCACTGACGACATGGCTGGCAATGGGCACTGGGTCCACGTAGGAACTCCCGAGGGCAGGCCCAATGGCCGCCATCCCAGCTGCTGTCCCAAGCACAAAGAGGAAAGAGGTGAGTGACGAGGCCTGGGATTGCAACCTTCTTGTCCCCAAGTAAGAACTGAAGTGTAGCCCACGCACCCGTCCTCCTCTGTCTGAACATGATGGCCACGTGCTTGCTTTTAGAATCTTTCTCTTTAAGTTTCTCCTAAACCTTTTTCGGTGGTTCAACAAAGGAGCCACTGGTTGGCGTGACCACTGCAGCTCATAGTGGCTGGAGGTGTCCATCATGCCAGCCTGTCTTCCACCAGGTGGTCTAGTGACTCAAGAATGTGTGCCCTGGACGCTGCCCAGCCAGCTTCCCAGAGACCGCCTTTCCTCTCCCCTCTCGCCATCAGGCCCAGCCCAGCAAAACAGTCCCCTGACTCTTCATAGTAGCATCTCAATTGCCACAAATATGGACAGAAATGCATGTGGTGCCCCCCACTGGCTATGTTATCAGACACTGGCTCGTGGACACGGCGGGGACACAAAAGTTCCTGAGTCCCGGACCCCAGGTTTAAAACATGTTTTCATGACTCAGGAGACTGAGGCAGGAAGACTGCAAGTTCAAGGCCAGCCTCAGCCACTTAGACCCTGTCAAAAAACCAGAAGGACTGGGGGCGCAGCTCAGGGATGAGCCCGTCTAAATGGTCATCTAGATCAGGAAAGGAAGCAGAATATTAAAAGGAAGGGAGGGGCCTTTCCACAGGAAGAGCCCAGCCGGAGACTGGGAACGAGAGAAGCGCCTAGAAAGTCACACTGGGTGAGGAGCAGTGTCCCTTCCCGACATTGTAAAGACAAAGTAGAATCGGCGAGAGCAGGAGGGAGCCGGCCACGAGGGTGCAGCCGAGAGGAGAGCTGGCAGCACGGAGTTCAGAGCAGCTAACCCTGAGCCGGCGCCCGGAGGCCCTCAGGGCTGGAGGCAGATCCTCGAGGGACACAGGCTGGTGGGCACCCTTCCTCGCCGGGGCTTCCCCACTCCCTGGAGTAGGGCGTCGTGGGTGCTGGAGGAAGCTGAGCAGCACCCTGGCCTCCGCCCAGCCCATGCCCGGAGCACTGTGTCCCCCAGTCCCAGCACCAGAACTGCCTCTAGTGTCAGAACTGCCTAGTTAGGAAGGGCTGCGTGGTGTCTGGTTCTGGAACTTTCCTGTACGCCTCAGAGCTGGGGAGACACTGGAAACACCCAGGGCAGCTGCCCCTCATCTAGGAAAGAGGAGCGAGTGCCAAGCCTCCCCCTGGAAGCTGGCTAATGACAAGAGCCAGATCCCAGCAACCCCGGCTCTCCACGTGCTTCCCGGGAAGCCAGAGATCACTCCCCAGCACCTGTCCTGGCCACCCAGGTCCCCAAAGGCCGCCACACTCACCCTTGGTCCACTGGTAGGTGAAGGCCGGATCCAGGGTCTGCACGGCCGTTTCCCTCACGGTGACCCTCTCCACGCCCCGGCCGCCCTTCTTCCTAGCCCTGGGTGGTTTGTGGGGGTCTGTCCTCAGACTCCTCGAGCATTCCGACACGGTGGCCAGTGTTCCGTCCAGAGCTGCCTCGGAAGGAGCCGTTGGCTCGGAGGCCGGGGGACTCGGCGGGCTTTCAAAATCTTCCGAATAAGCCGAGCCCACACTGTCCTCTGTGGGCGTCTCAGATGATGGCTTCGCGCTGGACACACTGTCCTGCTGGGCGGCAGAGGCCAGGCTGGCACTCAGACGCTCTGAGACCTCACTTTCAGTGGGGAGGCCCTCGTCCCCAACCACAGAGGTGGCCTTTCCCTGAAATGCTGAGCTCCTGGGCAGGGCATGGCTCGGTGCGTCCAGTCCAGCAGGTGTCTTGTCGGGGCGGCTCCTGCCTGGCGTTCTCGCCCTCTGAGTGGCTCCTTCCTATAACGAAGGATGGCAGAAGTCACTGGAAAATGAGTGTTCTAAGGATACCACATTTGCGTGAGCAAGACACCTCAGCCATCCCCCTGGGAGGGTACACTGGTCCCCCTGGAGTTGGGGGGGGTGTCGAGGATGGAACCCTTGCCCAGGGGATGCGGAGGATGGAACCCAGGGCCTCGGCGTGCTGAGCACGACCATGGAGTGCACCCCACCCCAGGACCCCAGAGATGTTTAGCGCAGGGTTTTCTAAAGGGTGAGAGTCATAACCCTCATGACGTGGGACATGTTCAGGCGGCACACATGTGAAACGTTAAGTGGCATCCTATGTATTATGGAGATGTGCAGGTGGTTACACGGAAGTCACCACGACCAGGACACACGTGGCTGCCTCAGCCTGGATGTGACTCTGGGTGCTCTGAAGGGGGTGGCTGTGATCACCTGCTCACCTGCTGGGCTTGTTACCGCCAACACCAGAGTCCCCGGACTGCAACAACCTGTCACCTGGGGCCAGAATGTTCTCTAGCGAGAACCATCCTGTGCTCTCCAAGACTCTGAGTACATCCCAGCATCCACCCCCCGCTCCCCAATCCTAACCACCAAAGTGTCCCCAGGTGTGCCAACGTGCCGCACGCAGGACCACTGGCCTAAATAAAACCTTCCAGCCTTTCTACAATCTAGAAGGACCCGTGGCCGGGGGCTGTGGCTCAGTGGTAGAGCAATCATCGAGCAATCCTGAGGCCCTGGGTTCCCTCCCCAGCACCACAAAAAACTAAAAAAATAAAATAAAGTGACTCCAATGTACTTACTTTCTGTTCCAAGTCTGATCTCTCACTGACGGCCGGAGACAGGTCATCAAGGGATAAAATATTGATTCTAAAATCTGTAATTTAAAAATTAGTCAGGCAGCGTTGACTCCTTCGTTTACTCCACAAATGCTTAGGAAGACATGAAGACATTCAGTCCCTGACCTCGATTCGCAGCACAGGGTCAGCAGCTTTTCTCTAAGGGGTTACAGGGGAAATACTTCCAGTTTGGGGGCACACCTGTGACTGCAGTTGGCCCTCTGCATCTGTGGGTTCTGCAGCCTGGACTCCACGGAAGTCAGGTCAAACGTACCTGGGGGATGCATTTATCCCACACATGTACTTTTTTCTTGTTATTAATCCTAAAACAATACAGTTGCTGGGTGCAGTGGCCCACACCTGTAACCCAGAGGCTCAGAAGGCTGAGGCAGGAGGATCACGAGTTCAAAGCCAGCCTCAGCAACTTAGCAAAGCCCTAAGCAATTCAGCAAGACCCTGTCTCCAAATAAAAAATAGAAAGGGTGCTGGGGCTGAGGCTGGGGCTGAGTGGCAGAGCACTTGCCTAGCATGTGTGAGGCCCTGGGGTCAATCCTCAGCACCACTTAAAAATAAACAAACAAAATAAAGACATTCTGTCCATCCACAACTACAACAGAAAAATTAAAACCTGGCTCAGTGGCTAAGCGCCCCTGGGTTCAATCCCTGACACGCCCCCCGCCCCCGAAAAAAAAAAAAAGAAAACAATGCACTGTATCAAGTATTTGCATAGCATTACACTGTATCTAGGACCAAGTCCTCCCGAGGTGGCTTAGTGTTCAGGATGTGCAGAGGTTCCTCCCATCCTTCTGACAGAAGGGACTGGAATATCTGTAGGGTCCTGAAGCAACCCTCTGCAGGTACCAAGGGACAACTCTACTCAGCCAGACGAGTGTGAAAGCAGTCACAGATTATGTGTCACCTAAGGGCATGGATCGTTCTGATAAACTTTTGTCTATAGAAACAGACAACGGGCTTCCAAGCCCCTGGTCTAGACAGAGCAGATGACATAAGGCACCTCAGGGAAATGGTGACAAAAACGCCATGGTGTGAGGGCTGGACAGCAAGGGGCAGCCTGGCAGTGGAGGGAGGGGCCCTCAGGCCCAGGTGAGATGTGGCCTGAAGTGCCTAAGTTCTCACCTGACAGCCAGTGAAAGGCCCAGGGAGACGCAGAGGGCAAGGGCTTGGCCACAGCCCCGGGCAAAGGCCCTGGCTCCAGCCCAGGGGTGGCAACCCCTCCTGACTCCCCCAGCAACGCCGCTCAGGTGGGTACAAAGACCTGCGCCACCATGTTTTAGGAGACAAAGGCTGTGAACTAAGACCTCCTGGTGGTCAGGGGCAAAGGCAGCATCGGGTGTCTGAGACTTGCACTCTGGGACAGCAGTGGCACTGGGTGTCCATATGGTCACCAAAGCCGACTCTCACAGGCACCGCTGTGAGGCAGCACCAGCCGAGGGGCTTCTCGTGGACCATTTCACTGATGCCCCGTTTTACAGACGAGGAGACTGAGGCCCAAATAGCCTGAGATGGCACAGTTTGCTGGAGGGGAGGCTGGTCATCCACCCCTGGCATGCTGGACTCCAAATGTGGACTCACCGTCCCCCACTATGTCCCTCAAGGCTGCAGCTAAAGGACAGAAGGAGACACTTGGCCACCAGGGGAGACCGCCCCCAAAGGGAAAGAGCAGAATGACAGATGGTAGGAAGCCAGGGCCTGGTATCAGTGCTGGCTCTCTCCACCAGCTTAGGCCCACCTTCTCATCTGTGAAGGTGACATGGGACAAGCTGAGGACCCCACTTACTACCCAGCCCCTCGTGCTGGATTCCTCATGTGTACGACTAAGGATCAGAGTCAGGAACGTATATACCAAGTGGCATCTGGCAGGAGGGGCCCTGCAGGGGCTCCAGGGAGTTTCCTCACATCCATGATGCCTCAGTGAACGTGTCCCCAAGACCCTGTGTTGGTGCCTAATGCCCAATGCAGCAGTGTTGGGAGCTGGTACTCAAGATGCAATCAGGTCCTAGCGACTCTGCCTTATCAATGTCTGTAGCTCAGGAGTAGGTTCATTATAAAAGTGAGTTCCGACCCTCTTTTTATTTTTTTGGTCCTGGGGATTGAGCCTAGGGGCACTTACCACTGAGCTATATCCTCAGCCCTTTTTTAAAATTTTTGAGACAGGGCCTAAGTTGCTGAGGCTGGCCTCAAACTCTCAATCCTCCTGCCTCAGCCTTCCAAGTGGCTGGGGTTATATGTGTGCACCACGGCTGCCACCCCCTCTTGCTTGCTGGCTCTCAGCCTCCCTTGGCCTTCCACCTTGGGATGCTGCAGAAAGAAGCAGCAAGACACCAGGCAGCCCCTGCATCTTGGACGTCCAGCCTCCAGAACCATAAGCCAGATGAACCCCCATTCTCTATAAATTACCCAGTCTGTGATCCTCTATTATAGCAGAAGAAAACTAAGACACACAGCCTTGAACACACCTGCTTTTCTGTGGCTGGGCAGGGCCACTTGGAAGGGACAGACCCTTGTTGGGGATGCTTCACCACTCACCCTAGCAGATCTTTGCTTGCCGAGTCGTGGGACTTTAACTTACCCACCACTTATTTATTTATTTATTTATTTATTGAGACAGGCCCTACTAAGTTGCCCTGGCTGGCCTTGAACTCCCAGACTCAAGCCAGCCTCCTGCCTCAACCTCCTGCCTCAGCCTCCTAGATGGTGGAAACACAGGCCTGACTTGCCCATTAGTCTTGGACTGACTCCACTTATGGCCGTGCTGGTCCCTGGAGGGCAGGGAATATGTTTGCTTGTTTGTTCTGTCCTTGCCAACATGACACCTGGCACCCTCTGCCACACATCGGGCACTTATGAGACAATTACTTAACTTTGATTTGGTGATAAAGCATCTCAGAGGGAAAAAATAAATGTTGACTTCAAAGCTTTTTTCCTCCTCTTCTGCTCTTAAGTATTAAAAATAATGTTGAATAATGTTGAATAATGTCAAAAATGTTTACTTTGACTACTTAGAAATTTGTTTTCTTTTCTGAATTTAAAAAGGAGGCAGGGGTACATGTCTGTAATCCCAGTGACTCGGGAGGCTGAGGCAGGAGGATCCAGGTTTGAGGGGTTACCGTTCAGGCTGTCATCGGAGGCTTCCCCGGGCCCAGGCTCGCTCCTCCCGCTCCTCCCGGAGGAAGACGCGAGCTGGATGTGACCCATCGTTGAAGACTTTGATCTTGAAACCGCGGCGGCGGCGTCGGGGATGGAAATCGAGGAGTCGCGGGAGGCTGTGTCGCGGGAGGCTGTGTCGCGGGAGGCTGTGTCGCGGGAGGCTGTGTCGCGAGCCGCCGGAGTCTGCGGGCAGCAGGTTCCCGACCGAGTACTGCGGAGGGCCCGGCGCGCTGACCGCGTGCTGGACAGGCCCAGGGTCTGGGAAGGCCCTGAGCTGGAGAGCTCCGCCCTGGACAGAGGGGCTCGGGGCGGGGCAGGGATCTGACCCTACTTTGGTGAAAGAAAAGACAAGAAATTAGCAAACTCTGATAAATTAACTCCTTCTATGCCACAAGGGTGAGCTGGTGGGAAGCGCGACACCAGGACTTCAGCAATTCAGCCATGACCTCTGCGCCCTCCCCGCTCTCCTCACAGCCCAGTCAAGGCACATTGAGATGAGGTAACGTGGGGATTAGAGAATGTGCCACAGGCAATCAAAAAGGTCACTTCGCTTTCAAATACATACTGTTAATTACTCTTCTCTTTATTTATTTATTTATTTTTTTTTTTTTAATTTTGGGACAGGGTCTCACTGTGTTGCCAGGCTGGCCTTGAACTCCCCAGTAGCTGGGACTACAGGCATGTGCCACCATATCCAGCACACACATTTTCTAAACTAAGGTTCTTCCAGCCCCAAGAGTAGGTAGTCTCTGACAGCCCAGGATGCCAAAAGCACCAAAACCAGCATGCAGATCCTCCCCGCTAAAGAACACCTTTCTACCACATCTCACCACCCGCCGTGGTAATTAAAAAGGAAATAACAAATGTTGGCCAAGACCTGAAGGAATGCCGACACCCACACAGGGCCAATGGGGGCTAAGATGGTGCAGCGGCTGCCGTCTGGCAGGTCCTCAAAAATATTTAAACAGAATTACCGTATGGCCCAGCAATCCCCTCCTAGGTGTGCCGGTGGAAACAGGGACTCAGACACGGCCATTCACATGTTCACAGCAGTACCGTTCACGACAGCCCAAAGCCGGAAACAACCCAGGAGTCATTCAACAGACACAAGGGTAAAGAAACTGGTCCCCCTCTACAGTGGAATTCTCCCCCTCGGTGCCAGGGATGAGCTCGGGGCACTGCACCCTGAGCTACATCCCCAGCCCTTTTTAGTTTTTGAGACAGGATCTCACTAAGTTGCTTAGGGTCTCAATAAATTGCCGAGGCTGGCCTCAAACTTGTGATCCTCCTGCCTCAGCCTCCTGAGTAGCTGGGATTACAGGTGTGTGCCACGCCTAGCTCCCACCCAGTCTTTTAGCTTTAGATCTAATCTTTTTGTCTACTCAGGTTTCTGCGCAGTTGTCCATGTTTCAATCATGCTTGTGCAATAAAATCTCCATAAAACCCCAAAGGACAGGACGCAGAGAACTTGACGAAAGCTGAACACATGGAGGCCAACAGGAAGCTGAGCAAGAACTCGTCCACAGGCACCCCAACTCCACCTTCAGGACCCTTCCCGACCTCACCCTGGGGATCTGTTTATTTGTATCCTTTAAAATACCCTTTGCAGGAGATGTGGCTCAGTGGTAGAGCACTTGCCTTGTGCAAGGCCCTGGGGTCCATCCCCAGCACTGAAGGAAGGGAGGGAGGAAGGGAAAGAGAGGGGGAAAGAAAATATTCTTTATAATAAACCAATAATGTGTTTTCCCGAGTTCTGTGAGCCACTGTAGCAAGTTAAGCACAAAGAAGGGGCTCTGGGAACCCAAATTTGTGGAAGTTCTAGAGGCACAAAATTGTCACCGATGTCTGAAGTGGGAGACAGTCTGGGGTGCAGAGCCCCCCAACCTGTGCAACCTGCCGCAACCTCCAGGTAAAACTGAACGGAACCAGAGGACAGCCCCGGGGTCTGCTGCAGAGGGGCTGCCTGGCGGCTGGCACACAGCAGCCTCCACACCCCTCGGGGGTCACAGAAGCGACCCAGGGCTGGGTGCAGCTCAGTGGTACTGCACGTGCTGAGCATGCCTGAGGCCCTGGCTCCAACCCCAGAAATGCAAAAAAAGAGAAAGAGAGCGAGGCAGTCTGTGCCGTGGGAGGCCAGGAGGAGAAACGGAGTTTGATTTCCTCCACGTCCTCAGAGAACTGGTTACTGCTGCTGTTTGATGAGGGGCACAGAGTGAAAGCCGTCTGGAGCACAGCAGCACACACCTGCGGACCCAAGCACCCGGGAGGCTGAGGCAGGACAACCACCTGAGCCCAGGAGTTCAAGGCCAGCTGGGCAACACAGCAAGATGTCTCCAAAACAAAACCAAATAACCCAAAGTGCTGTGGTGTACACCAGGCACAGACGCTGTGTCGCGAACACAGCGCAAAGTGTCCCAAGCGCCACCCCGCACCACGCATACCCTCAACAGATACTTGCAATTGGCCAAAACCCTACCCTTTCTCATCAAGCTCTTCTCTCAAATAGTTTCTGGTGACATCACTATAAAAGTCATGCTATGACATCATGGTGGCAGTGATAAAGATGGGACTCAAACAAACAAATGAAAACCTCACCGCCGGTGGTTTCACGCGCTCCTTCTCACTGACGGTAGTGCTGGTGAACCTCTGATTTAGACTTGTTTCTTTTTCTCTAGAAGATTCCATCAAGCTTCCTAGCAATTCTTTCATTTCCTCTTCATCGCTGTCTGGGGCATCAAATTTTCTAGCAGGTTCTTTCTGTCTGGGTGTTTGAAGATTCCTCTCCTTCCCAGCGTGGGCCTCGGGGGCTGCGCTACCCACAGGTGGCTGTTTCTTCTTCAGGAACCTACTGGCCTGCCCACTCTGCACACTGCTCTTGGGAAGGGGGGCTTCACGGGCTTGTTTCTGGAAAGTTCTGTGGGTGTGCGGCGAGGCAGGGCCCGAGGTGGCTCCCGGGGCGAATCTGTCCACGCTCCCGGCAAGACCATCCTCCAGGAGCCGCGAGTCAGACTCCGTGTCAGACCAGCTCGTGGGCGCGCTCTGTCGACTCCGGATCTTGGTTTCCAGCTGGGCCAGCTTCATGAGCGCGGCGCTGGCTCGGATCTTGGAGGCGGTGGCGAGGGGTCTGCCCAGGGTCAGCCAGGCCCCACTGCCCAGGACAGCATTGTCTTGCAGGTTTAAGTGCTTCTCACCGATAGTTTGGTTTCTTTTTAGAAATCTGCTTTGACCGGAGGCTGCTTGGGTAAAACTTCTACTGACTTTCAAGTTTCTGAGGTCTTCCGTCCTTGAATCTTCTAAGGAGATGTCACTAAAAACACCGTGAGCAGGTGGGCTGGTTTTTCGTAAGAAAGCCATTCTAGGAGGAAAGACAGACCATGGCTTGTAAGAACACCTCCCGTTTGTATCGTGTGTCCAGGGCTCCCCCCTGGCCACAGAGCACACCGCCTGCTGAGGACTGGGTATGGTCTGTTCCCCACGAAACTAAGTTGAAATTGAACCCCACTGTGGTGGCATTGGGAGCAGGGGAATAGGTCAGCGAGAGGGATTAATGTGGGCTGGGTGCAGCTCCGTGCTACAGCGCTTGCCTGGCATGTGAAGGGCGCTAGTTCCATCCCCAGCACCACACACACACACACACACACACACACGCACGCACGCACGCTCACACGCACACATGCTCACATGCACACATTCATGCTGCTCAGGCAGGACTAGGTTCATCCCCTTGGACGTGGGTGGTGACAGAAAGAGCCCTACCCCTCATGCTTTGTCTCTTCTCCATGTACTCATTCTCTTCTGTTTTGTACCTTCTTAAAAAGTACCACAGGCCCTCATACAGGCAGCTGCCCAGCCTTGGATTCCCAGCCCCTGAACTGTGAGCTAAATAAATTTCTTTCCTCTACAGATTATCCAGGCTCAGGTATTTTGTTATAGCAACAGAAAACAGATGAATGCACCACCCACTGCTCTGCAGTCCCTTTAGTCTCCTCTTCAAGCCCACCAGTTTTCAACCATGGGGGCTCCTCTTTGATGACTGTATCTAATCCTAACTACCTCTGAACATCATAGTTGGAGACTAAGTCTCAATATTCAAAATACCTCACAATGGAGATTAAATTTCAACACATGAACCACTGGGGTACCCACTTGAACCACATCAAACCATAGCCGTATGTATCTGCTGCCCCGTTAGTAAAGAACTTTGCAACAGCAATCAAAATGAAAAGCACATGGGCGCTGGGACCTGCCAAGTCCACACATGGGAACGTACCTACAGTGGTGCTCTCCCAGCACAGAGATGCCCATTCAAGGAGACTCTGGCCACAGTGTTTGCATTCACCAAACCCAAACCCATCCACAGAGAACTGGTGAGGCCCAGTAAATAGCACACAGACCACGGAATACAGGAGGCAAAGAGAGACGAGGCACAGGAGCACGCCTCCTAGCCACAGGGACACTTCACAAGGACATGTGGTGTTAACTTTCACTAAAAAATGTTTCTTGATTCACCTTGACACCTGAAGAGGTCTTTTCTCCCATGCCTGTCTACTTAGAAATTGATCTTATTGTGATTGCCAGATTAAATACTGGACACCTAGTTAAAGTGGAATTTCAAGTAATTAATATTTTTTTAAAAAGAATGACATAGGGCTGGGGATGTGGCTCAAGTGGTAGCGCGCTCGCCTAGCATGTGTGAGGCACTGGGTTCAATTCTCAGCACCACATAAAAATAAAATAAAGATATTGTGTCCACCTAAAACTAAAATATATATATATAAAGAATGACATAGCCATTCTTATGGTGACATATACCTATAATCTCAGCAACTCTGAAGGTTGAGGAAGGACCATCTCAAGTTCAAGTCTAACCCAGTCAACTCAATAAGATTCTGTCTTAAAATAAAAAAAAAATAATAATGGCAGCAGAATAGAATAGACATTATGACTGCTGTATGTATATAGGTGACTCTATGACCACTGTGATTCTGCAATCTGTACAATCAGAAAAATGAGAAATTATAGTCCAATTGTTTCAAATGTATGAAAGCCAAGATCATTGTAATGTCATGTGTAGTTAATAAAAAAAAATTTAAAAAAAAAATAATTCTGGGAATCTAGCTTAATGGTAGAGTACATGCCTACCTTTGCCAAGAACCTGAGTTTTATCCCCAACACTAGGGGAAAAAAGACCCAAATATTTTTATACTAAATATTATCTGAAATTGGAATTTAAGTGTGTGCCCTGTATTTTTGTTTGCTAAATCCAGCACGCTCATATCTTCTACACCTTTAAATAATATGCACAAGCATTTTCTGTGTAGCAAAAAAGTGTTTAATCCAGCCCTTAAGATTTTGTTCAAGATGCCAAGCATGATGGCACATGCCTGTAATCCCAGTGATTCAGGAGGACAAAACAGGAGGATTGCAAGTTTGAGGTCAGCCTTGGTGACTTAGTGAGATCCTGTCTCAAAATAAAAAGGATTGGGGGTATAGCTCAGTAGCAAAACATCCCTGGGCTCAATCCCCAGTTCCAGGAAAAAAAAAAAAAACAGTCTGGGAAAACTAAGGACACCCTGCTTCAAAAAAATTAAAAGGGGAGCCGGGTGTGGTGGCACATGCCTATAAACCCAACAACTTCGGAGGCTGAGGCAGGAGAATCGCAAGTTCCAGGCCACCCTCAGCAATTTAGCGAGGCCCTAAGCAGCTTAGGGAGACCCTGTCTCAAAATAAAAAATTTTAAAAGGGCTGAGGATGTAGCTCAGGGGTGAAGCGCCTTTGGGTTCAATCTCCAGTACTGGGGTGGGGGGCTATACACAGAGACAGAACCAATACGAAATGCTGATGAGGCTGTAAAGAAACCTGAATCTTCATAGTCTGGTGGTGGTGGTGGTGGTGGTGGTGGGTTATAAAACGGTGCAGCCATCACTTTGGAAAAGTTTGGCATTTCCTCTGGGGGGTTAAACATGGAGTCACCATAAGATCCTGCAGTTCCACTCCCATGCAATTAAATGGTCATAAGAATTATTTACAAGAGAGAGAAAGTGGGAAGAAGCCAAATGCCCTTTCATGAGCAAGCGAAGGCCGGCCCGTGGCCCATGCAGAGTGAACACTCCTCGGCACCAGGAACAAGTGCCGCCCGAGGCCCGCGCTCGCCCGAGGAAAGCCGCTGGTCAGCAGCCGCCGGGGGTGAACGCCGGGGTGGACCGCCCAGGCCGGTGCGACTGGCAAGGCACGTGAACGTGCCTGGTAAAGTTGCTGACAGCAAATGAACTAAACTTGGAAACACCGACGCCTCGGCCTATCCGCTCTTCCCGGCCTCGCGGCCATCCGCACCGGACCCCGCTCGGGGCTCGGGACCCAGGGCAGCCGCCGCAGGCCCAGCCCAGTCGCGGATCGCACCCCATCTCCTCGCAGCCCCCCTCGCCAGCCGGGCGCCCACCCGTCGCCGTCCGCCCAGCCCCGCAGACCTACTTCCACGCCGGTTTACCGGTGGAACCCGGCGCCACACTCCCGCCAGGCCGTCCGGCCCCAGGGTACCGTTGCCTTGGCAACCGCGCCGGGCTGAAGAGACTACACTTCCCACAGGCCACCGCGCTCCCGCGAGCAGGGTGGCCCCGGGTCACAATCGCGGGGCATCATGGGAGTGGTAGTTCCAGGGCATGTCCGGCGCACCCGGCCGCCGACGGCCAAGGTGCTTTCGGGTCACAATCGCGAGGTGTGACGGAAGATGTAGTTTTGAGGCGACGCGCCTGGCTCGCCGCAGAGACCGCTGGGAGGACAGGGGCGGTCACGAGGAGGAGCGCCGCGCATGCCCCATGGCACGCGCCCGCGTCCTGATCTGGGCGGTCTGCGCGCTGCGCTTGGCGCTGGCCACTGTCTACTTCCAGGAGGAATTTCTGGACGGAGGTGAAGAGGCAATGCCGGGGCCTGTCGGCGCGGGGTGGGCAGGGGCCGAGCCTGGAGGGCCGCTCTCCCTGCCCTGGACCCAGGTCCACACACTTCCCGCCCTCACTGGTGTTTCCTCCCACAGAGCGCTGGAGAAACCGATGGGTGCAGTCCACCAATGACTCCCAGTTTGGGCATTTTAGAGTGTCGTCGGGGAAGTTTTATGGTCACAAAGAGAAAGACAAAGGTTAGTGTAGAATCAGGAGAGAACAGAACCAAGCGTTAAACCCCATCGAGCGACCTTCCAAGGTGGACGTGGTGCAGAAATAACGCTCCTACACCCACTAAGCCACAAGTGGGATTTTCCTCGCCTCCTTGCCTGTTTTAAAAATTCTTTTCATACTTGCCCTAGTCATCCAGCTTCATAAGCATCAGGTCAGTTTGGAGAGGAGGGCCTTGCCCACCCAGGGGATACTCCCTTTTTTTTTTTTTTTTCTCTCACCAGCGATTGAGCCCAGGGGCGCTTAACCAGTGAGCATATCCCCAGCCTTTTTTATTATTTTATTTAGAGACAGGGTCTGGCTAAGTTGCTAAGTGCCTTGCTAAGTTGCTGAGTCTGACTTTAAACCCGAGATCTTCCTGCCTCAGCCTCCCGAGTCGCACTTCCTTTCACTTTGATTTTTCACATTAAGAAAAAAAGTGGAGGTAAAAGTTGCCTGCTGTCGAGTGCTCACACCGCAGGACTGCAGCACGGAGACTTTCAACATCTGTACATCCAGGTCAAGATCTGGAACATATTTTCAGAACCCTACGGAAACTCCAGCGGTTAGGTTCTCGTGCCCAAGGAAACCTCTATTTTGGCTTTTCCTTTTCCTTTTGCTTTTCCAATTATTATTATTATTTTTTTTTTAATTTTGAGTCAGAGCCTCTTTAAATGGCCCAGGCTGGCCTCATACTTGTGATCTTCCTGCCTTGGCCTTTCCAGTAGCTAGAATTAACAGACGTGCACCACCACAGCTGGCTTATTTTGGCTTTTTCTCATATCTAATAGTCAAAGGTGGATGCACTACAGATGTTTTACCAACTCTTTTTGAATAGTCAATAGCTTTTACATTTTTTAGTTGGTAGGGCCAAAAACACAAAAAGGAAATAATACTTTCTAATTTGTAAAAATGATGTAAATTTTAATGGAATACTTGAAAGTTTGGCATCCCTAAAGTTTCACGAAAACACAGCCACATGGGTGTTTCCACACATAATAGCCCAGACATTGGGCGATGAGTGCTTTATAACAGAGCCATATCCACTGCCCTTTTGATTTTTTATTTTGAGACAGGGTCTTGCTAAGTTCCTGAGGCTGGCTTCAAACTTGCTATTCTTCAGCTTTAGTCTCCTGAGTTGTTGGGATTACAGGCACACACCACCCTACTGACTCACAGTAGCCATGTTAGTGCTCCAACATCAAAGTCAAATAGCTGGCTCAGAGATTGAGTAGCTCAGAAGGTCTAAAGTATGTCTTATCTGGACATACAGAAGATTTTTGCCAACTTCAGTTTTTGTTCTTGCAGTGGCAAGGATGGAACCCAGGGCCTTGCACATGCTGGGCAAGTGCTCTATTACTGACCCACCTCCCCAGGCCTCAACCACTGATTTAGATGTGGTTTCCCTCTTCACCACCTTCCCGGTCACCTCTGTGTTGGCCGTGTTAGCCTAGGGTACCCGTGAGTCCCACAGCCTTTGGCTTTGGGTCATGTCTACGTTGTTTTGTAAGATACATGTTGACCCCAGCAGTCAATAAAAATGAGCTCTGTGCCAAAAGTGGGGTGATAATAAACAGGCTACTCCCTGAAACTTGCCGAAGGACAGGACTTCCCACTTGGAGTTGTTTGGGCTTCCCGACACACAGTGTTTTCTCTTCCTCCAGTTTGGATTCCTGAGATTCTGTGCAATATTTTCATTTCTTCAGCACAGTCTGATCCTTCCCTGTGGTCCCCTGAGACCAAGATTTAAAAGCATGAATGAAAAAGATGAGTCTAATTTAGTCAGAAATGGGAAGTGGTGACAGGATGGGGTGCTCGTGGAGGGTGACAAGACATAAGAGAGGTGGAGAACCACATGACTTTCAGATTTCCTTGCTTGTAGGGGGAGAGAAGGTGCCCTGACTCCTCTGAGGAGGGAAGGATAGAGAAAAGAGGTGTGGTGGTGGACAGTCAGCCGTGAGTGAAGACTTGGACCTACGAGTACCAAATACCAGGTTCATGGATGATCACACAGGGTGGGTCACAATAGGAATGGCCATCTTCAGGTTGTGCAATAAACTCCAATATAATAAAAGAATTTAGGGCCGGGCGTGGTGGCACACACCTGTAATCCCAGTGACTGTGGAGGCTGAGGCTGGAGGATCACAAGTTCAAGGCCAGTCTCAGCAACTTAGTAAGAACCTGTTTCAAAATAAAAAGGGCTGGGGATGTAACTTCACGGAAAAGTCCCCCTGAGTTCCATCCCTGATATCAGAAAAGACAGGGAAAAAAAAATTAAAAAGGATTTAGGGGCTAAGGTGTAGCTCAGGGGTTGTAGAGCCCTTGCCTAGCGGCCCTGGATTCCAGTGCTCTGGGTTCCAGCCCTAGTGCTGCGTGTGCATATACACACACACAAAAAATAGTCCATGGGATAATGGTGGACAGTGGCATGTGCCTGTGATCACTGATACTTGTGGGGTGGAGACAGGAGGATCACAGCTGAGGATATAGCTCAGTAATAGTGCTCTTTCTTCACATGCATCCATCCCCATCCCCAAAGAGGAGGAAGAATGGTCAACTGGGCACAGTGGCACACTTGTAATTACACAGTGTTGGGATTACACGGTGTTGTAATCCCAACAGTTTGGGAGGCTGAGGCAGGAGGATCACATCAAAGCCAGCCTTAGCAAAAGCGAGGCACTTGGGGCTGGAGTTGTGGCTCAGAGATAGAGCGCTCATCTAGCACGTGAGAGGCCTTGGGTTCAATCCTCAACACCACATAAAAATTTTAAAAAAGGTATTAAAAAATTAAAGGTATTCCTGCAATCTGTACATGTGGAAAATAAGATTTTGTACCCCATTTGAATCAAATGTACGATATGTCAAGATCATTGTAATGTTTTGAGCAACTAATAAAAAAAATTAAAGGTATTGTATCCAACTACAACTAAAGTAAAATATTTTTTTAAAAAAAGCAAGGCACTAAGCAACTCAGTGAGACCCTGTCTCTAAATTAAATATGAAATAGGGCTGGGGATGTGGCTCAGTGGTTAAATTCAATCCCTGGTACCAAAATAAATAAATAAAAAGAACAGTGTCTTCATGAAAAGAGCCACCTTGTGGGCTGGGGATCTAGTTCAGTTGGTAGAGTGCTTGCCTTGCATGCACAAGGCCCTGGGTTGGAGTGCTTCTTTCTGTTCTTCATTCAGCTGCTATCCAGGCTTCCTTGCGTATCCTTGCCCCTTAGAAGATGAGGGGGCAAAATTAACTATCCATGGTTAGATTGCATGTTTGTCATTTAGGGTTGAAGTTTTTCTGTAACTTAAAACAGTAGAGGTGGGGCTGGGGATGCAGCTCAGTGGCAGAGCCTGCTCAGTATGCACAGACCCTGGGTTTCATCCCCCCGAAATAAGTAAACAAATACCATAACAATGATATATGAGGTACAAAAACATCTGGGTGCATAAAATATGAGTTTTGTGCAAGCTAGGGACCTATTAGTGATGTGTCCCCAGCATGCTGTGTCAGTACAGGTCATTATAGACAGCAGCTCCCTGTAAATAGAACATAGATTATCGCAGGTAGAGAAAGGGCATCTGTTAATGTCCATGCTTTACTGAGCACAATGTCATTCCTAATCCTTCACGAGTACTTTCTGTTGGAAGGTCTGCAGACCACTCAGAATGGCCGATTCTACGCCATCTCTGCACGCTTCAAACCGTTCAGCAATAAGGGGAAGACTCTAGTCATTCAGTACACCGTGAAACACGAGCAGAAGATGGACTGCGGCGGGGGCTACATTAAGATCTTTCCTGCAGACCTGGATCAGAAGAACCTCAATGGGAAATCACAGTACTATATTATGTTTGGTAAGTTGACATAGCAGAACACAACCATCTCTGCGGTTCAGACTTTGCTCACAGTGAATATATTTGACCCAAGGTTTTTTAGCACCAATACAGGAGGAGCATCCCTAATCGGAAAATCCAAAATGCTTTGAAGTCTAAAACATTTTGTTTGTGTTTTACGGTGAATGACACTCAGCATCAGGGTCTTACTGACCAGTGGGCTGCACCCCCAGCCCCTTTTTTAAATTTTATTTTGAGAGAGGCTCTCACTAGATTGGCAGGCTGTCCTTGAGCTTGTGATCCTCCTGCCTTGGCCTCCTGAGTCCCTGGGATTACAGGTACCACCACACCTGGCGTGGGTTTCCTTTATTTTTGAATTTATCATGATCAGAATCAGGCTCTGACAGTTATGCTGTTCTTATATTTGCTATGATCTTAATGCTAATTAGAATCAGAGTCTTAGAAGTAGAAAGAGTATTGGCTGTTCTTTCTGTTTTATTGGATGTTAGGTGTTAGGTTAATTCCTAGATATGGATAGA